TATATATATATATATATATATATATATATATATATATATATATGTACTTATATGTATATATATATATATATATAAATATATATATATGCATATATATATATATATATGCAAACAAATATAGATATATATGTATATGTATGTATGTAGATTTGCTTGTATATATTTATTCTGATGTATATCGAAATAAACATTGTTATAAAATACAGTTTTAAATTATTTATTCAAATCTGTTTGCTTCTGCTGCTGCTGCTGGCAGCGGGCGAAGCCAACAGCAGCAGCTGCAGCAGCTGCAGCAGGTGCAGCAAGCGAAGCAAACACAAGGCTAAGCCCTTTATAATGATTTGTACGAGCAGCTGCTGCTGCAACTGCTGCGGGGCTTAGTAGCTACGCACCCGCTGCAGCAGCAAAAACAGCGGGAGCAGCAGAAGGGGTTGCTGATACCGCTGCTGCTGCTGCTGCTGCTTTTCAGTTGCTGCTGGTGTCCCTACTGCTGCTGCTGCTGCTGTCGCAGTTGCTGCAGCGTTGATTGTTGCTCGTGATAATGTTGCCCTGTTGCTGCAGCAGCAGCAACAACAGCAGCAGCTGCTACTGTTGCTGCTCCTGCTACTGCTTCCGCTTCTCCTGCTGCTGCTGCTGCTGCTGCGGGTTTAATCTTCTGCTTTTTCTTCTGCATCTGAAATCCAATCAGCGAATTCAACGGAGGTGTCCCAGGCAGCTGGTACTGCAGTGCGTGCTGCTGCTGCTGCTGCTGCTGTTGCTGCTGCTGTTTGCTGCTGCAGCTGCAGCTGCTGCTGCTGGAAGCTGCGCTGCAGAGACACCTGAGCAGCAGGCACCGGAGGCGTCAGAAGATATGGGGAGACAGAAGTGGGTAGGGGGGCACAGGGCAGCAGCGGTGCAGCAGACAGCAGCAGCGGCTGCGGCAGATCTGCTGCTGCTGCTGCTGCTGCTGCTGCTGCGGCTGGGTGCTGCTGCTGCTGCTGCGGTGACGCAGCAACAGGCGGCAGCGCTAACCCCAATAAAGGCGCCATCTTGCACCGCTTGCTGCTGCTGCTGCTGCTGCTGCTGCTGTTAGCTGGGGTGTCTTTGCTGATTGGGTAGAGAGCAACATAAGGGTCTCGCGAAGCCAGCAGCAAATAGCAGCCGCTAGAGTGTATAGACAGGTTGCTGCTGCTGCTGCTGCACCGCGGAGCGACGAAACTCATCTCCAACTCCACGCTGTAGCTGCTGCAGCAGCTGCTGCAGCAGCAGCTGCTGCTGCAGCCAGCCCCCGCTGCACCTGTCTTCTCCTTGCCATTGGTTTCTGCTCCTTCGCTTGCTTCTGCTGCTGCTGCTGCTGCTGCCGCTGCTGCTGCTGCTGCTTCGCCTGCTGCTGCTTCAGGTGCTGCTGCTTTTACGCCGCTTAGGTCCAGGCTAGGAAGCTGCGGAAACCAGATATTTGCCTTTGCAAGTTCATCTCCAGGTTGCTGCTGCTGCTGCTGCTGCTGCTGCTGCTGCTGCGGCTGTTTGCCTGTCGCTGCTGCTGCTGCTGTTGTTGCTGCTGCTGCAGCGCTGCGGTGTACGTACAGCTGTTTCTCTTTGTGACTGTTGAAGCGGCATACAGAAACCTGCAGCACAAATATCTCTCCTGCAGTGTTGCAGCAAACCAGCTTGGCTGTATCAACAGCTGGGCTGCTGCTGCTGCTGCTGCTGCTGCTGCTGCATTTGGGGTTGCTGTTCCTGCTGCTGCTTTTGCTGCTGCTGCGCTGCTGCTTTGCAATAGAGAAGTAAAGACTGTCTGAGATTGGTAGTCTGTAAATGCAGTTGCGCTGTATGTACACCGCAGGTGCTTCTCCTCCATCCCTTTGCTGCTGCTGCTGCTGCTGACTTTGCTGCTGCTGCCGTTTCTGCTGCTGCTGCCAGCAATCCAGCACATTGAAAAGCAGCAGGTGCTGCTGCTGCTGCTCAGTGAACCCAAAGCCAATTCGAAGGCTCTGAAGGAGGTCTTTTGCTGCTGCTGCTGCTGCTGCAGCAGCGGGAGCCGGCAGTGCAGCTGTTGCTGCTGCTGCTGCCTTCTTAAATCTGCGCAGCACTTCCTTCGCAGCTTGCTGCTGCAGCAGCCCTGGAAGCTCTGTCTGTGCCTCCGCTGCTGCTGCTGCTTCTGCTGCTTCTGCTGCATTTGCTGCTGCATTTGCTGCAGCAGCAAGAGGAGCACCCAAAGAAGACTGAGAAAAGCAGAAGCAAAAGGCAGCACAGTACTCCAGCAGACTCACCACATTTTGCTGCTGCTGCTGCAGCAGAGAAGGCAGGTGCTGCTGCACCTGCTGTTGCAGCTGCTCCAAGCTCCTGCTGCTGCTGCTGCTGCTGCTGCTGCTGCTGCCGTCTGCACGGTCCAGCAGCTGCAGCAGCCAAACTACGCGACGCGCAAACTGCTGCAACAATTCTTGCTGCTTGTCCTGAGGGCCTGCAGCAACAGCTGCAGCAGAAGGCTTTGCTGCTGCTGCTGTTGCTGCTGCTGCTGCTG